TTTTAACACACCACTATCAAAAATGGACAGATCTTCCAAACAAACTATCAACAAAGATATTGTGGCATTAAACAATACCCTAGATGAAATGGGCTTTACTGATATATACAGAGCCCTCCGTCCCAAAGAAGCTAAATATACATTCTTTTCAAATGTACACGGAACATTTTCAAAGATAGACCACATGATAGGACACAAAAAAAGCCTCAACAATTTCAAGAAAATTGAAATCATATCAAGCATATTCTTGGACCACAAGGGACTGAAGCTAGGAACCAACCCCAAGGGAAAAAACCCAAAACACTCAAAATCATGGAGATTAAATAGCATGCTTTTAAACAATGAATGGGTCAAGAATAAAATTAGGGAAGAAATCAAAAGGTTTCTGGAAACAAATGAAAACGAACTCACAACAACCCAAAACTTATGGGACACAGCCAAGGCAGTCCTGAGAGGGAAGTTCATAGTGATACAGGCCCACCTAAAAAAGTTAGAAACATTCCAAACCAACAACCTAACCCTATGTCTACAAGAACTCGAGGAACAACAACAAAGACAGCCAAGAGAAAGCAGAAGGAAGGAAGTAACCAAGATCAGAGCAGAATTCAATGACATAGAGACTAAAAGCACAATTCTAAGGATCAATGAATCCAAGAGCTGGTTCTTTGAAAAGATAAACAAAATCGACAAGCCTTTAAGCAGACTCATCAAGAAAAAAAGAGAGAAGACCCAAATAAACACAATCAGAAATGAAAGAGAAGTGATTACAACAGATACCACAGAAATACAAAGCACTGTAAGAAATTACTACGAAGAACTGTATACCAAGAAATTTGAAAACCTAGATGAAATGAACAAATTTCTAGAAAAATATAATCTTCCAAAACTCAATGAAAAAGAAGCAGAAAGCCTGAACAAACAAATAACAGTGAAAGAAATTGAAACAGTAATCAAAAAACTCCCAACACACAAAAGCCCTGGACCACAGGGTTGCACAGGAGAATTCTACAAAGCATTTAAGGAAGAGCTAACCCCTATCCTTCACAGACTATTCCAAAAAATCCAAAAAGATGGAAGACTCCCAAACTCTTTTCATGAGGCCATCATCATCCTAATCTCAAAACCAGATAAAGACACAAAGAAAGAAAACTTCAGGCCAATATTGCTGATGAACATTGATGCTAAAATCCTCAGTAAAATACTGGCAAACCGCATCCAACAGTACATTAAAAAGATCATACACCATCACCAAGTGGGATTCATCCCAGGGATGCAAGGATGGTACAACATTCGCAAGTCAGTAAATGTAATACATCGCATAAACAAAAGCAAAGACAAAACCCACATGATCATATCAATAGGTGCAGAAAAAGCATTTGATAAGATACAGCACCCATTCATGATAAAAACACTCGGCAAAGTGGGAATAGAGGGAGCATTCCTCAACATAATAAAGGCCATATATGAGAGACCTACAGCCAACATCATACTCAATGGGCAAAAATTAAAATCTTTTCCACTAAGATCAGGAACAAAACAAGGATGTCCACTTTCACCACTTCTATTCAACATAGCACTAGAAGTTTTAGCCACAGCGATCAGATAAGAAAAAGAAATAAAAGGCATCCATATCGGAAAGGACAAAACAAAATTGTCACTGTTTGCAGATGACATGATAGTGTACATAAAAAATCCTATAGACTCCACCAAAAAACTGCTTGACCTAATAAATGAATTTGGCAAAACAGCGGGATACAAAGTCAATATCCAGAAATCAAAGGCATTTCTGTACACCAACAATGAAACAGCAGAAGCAGAGATCAAAAAAAAAATCCCATTTGAAATAGCAAAAAGTAAAATAAAATACCTAGGAATAAACCTAACCAAAGAGGTAAAAGACCTGTATTCAGAAAACTACATACCACTCAGGAAAGAAATCAAGGAAGACACAAACAAATGGAAACATATACTGTGTTCATGGATTGGAAGAATTAATATCATCAAAATGTCCATACTACCCAAAGCTATTTACACATTCAATGCAATACCTATTAAAGTACCAATGGCTTATTTCACAGACATAGAACAAACACTTCAAAAATTTATATGAAACCATAAACGACCCCAAATAGCTGCTGCAATTTTGAGAAAGAAGAGTAAAATAGGAGGGGTCACAATACCTGACACTAAACTATACTACAAGGCCACTGTAATCAAAACAGCCTGTTACTGGCATAAAAACAGGCACATGGACCACTGCAACAGAACAGAGCCCAGAAATAAACCCAAGTCTATACAGTCAATTAATATTTGACAAAGGAAGCAGCAACATAAACTGGAATAAAAATAGCCTCTTCAGCAAATGATGCTGGGAGAACTGGACAGCTACGTGCAAAAAAAAAAAAAATGAAACTTGAGCACCAACTTACACCTTATACAAAAATAAATTCAAGGTGGATAAAAGACTTAAATATAAACTGAGACACCATTAAAGTCCTAGAGGAAAACGTAGGTAGGAAAATCTCAGATATTTCACACAGAAACTTTTTTACTGACATGTCTCCTAGAGCAAGGGACATAAAGGAAAGAATAAACAAATGGGGCCTCATCAAAATTAAAAGCTTCTGCACAGCTAAAGAAAACAGTATCAAAATTAAAAGAGAACCAACTGTATGGGAAAACATATTTGCCAATGATACCTCAGACAAGGGTTTAATCTCCAAAATATATAAAGAACTTACACGACTTCACTCTAAGAAGACAAGCAACCCAATTAAAAAATGGGCAAAGGACTGGACCAGACACTTGTCCAAGGAGGATATACAGAAAATCCAAAGACACATGAAATGATGTTCAATATCGCTAGCTATCAGAGAGATGCAAATTAAAACCACAATGAGATACCACTTCACACCAGTCAGACTGGCCATCATAAACAAAGCAACAAACAACAAGTGTTGGAGAGGTTGTGGAGAAAAGGGGTCCCTAGTGTACTGTTGGTGGGACTGCAGACTGGTACAACCACTATGGAGAGCAGTATGGACCTTCCTCAGAAAACTAAAAATGGATCTGCCTTTTGACCCTGTGATTCCACTGCTGGGACTATATCCTAAGAACACTAAAACCCCAATCCAAAAGAACCTTTGCACCCTGATGTTCATAGCAGCACAATTTACAATAGCTAGGTGCTCGAAGCAACCTTGATGCCCATCAGTAAATGAATGGATCAAAAAACTAAGGTACATTTACACAATGGAATTCTATGCAGCAGAAAGAAAGAAAGAGGGAGCTCCTACCCTTCACAACAGCTTGGATGGAGCTGGAAAGCATTATGGTAAGTGAAACAAGCCAGGCAGTGAAAGACAAATACCATATGATCTCACCTTTAACAGGAACCTAAACAACAAAACAAAGAAAAAGCAAAATATAAACAAAGTCACTGAAATAAAGGACAGACTGACAGTGACCAGAGGGGAGAGAAGAGGGAATTTCAGGGGAGAATGTGTAGGGTTTACAGGAACAAATTTAAAGGACACATGGACAAAAATTAGGGGTAGGGTGGTAATGGGAGGAAAGAGGGGTGGGTTGGGTGGGTGGGCTGGAATGGGAGTAAAAGGGAGAAAACTGTACTTGAACAAAGATTAAAATAAAAAATTTTAAAAAAACAACAACAAATCAACAAACAACAAGTGTTGGAGAGGATGTGGAGAAAAGAGTACCCTAGGGCACTGTTGGTGGGAATGCAGACTTTTACAGCCACTGTGGAAAACAGTATGGAATATCCTCAGAAAACTAAAAATTGAATTGCCTTTTGACCCAGCAATTCCACTGCTGGGATTATACTCTAAGAATTCTGAAACACCAACCCATAAGAACCTATACACCCCAATGTTCATAGCAGCACAATCTACAATAGCCAAGTGCTGGAAGTGACCTAAGTGCCCATCAGTAAATAAATGGATCAAAAAACTATAGTACATTGACATAATGGAATACTATGCAGCAGAAAGAAAAAGGAAGAAAGAAAGAAGGAAGAAAGAGGAAGGAAGGAAGGAAGGAAGGAAGGAAGGAAGGAAGGAAGGAAGGAAGGAAGGAAGGAAGGAAGGGAAGGGAAGGGAAGGGAGGGAGGGTAGGAGGGGGGAGGGAGGGAGGGGGGAGGGAGGGAGGAAGGTGAAGAAGGAGAAGAAGAAGAAGAAGAAGAAAAAGAGGAGGAGGAGGAGGAGGAAGAAGAAGAGGAAGAAGAAGAGGAGGAAGTAAGGGGGAGGAGGAGGAGGAGGAAGAAGAAGAAGAAAAGAAAGAGAGAGAGAGAGAAAGAAAGAAAGAAAGAAAGAAAGAAAGAAAGAAAGAAAGAAAGAAAGAAAGAAAGAAAGAAAGAAAGAAAGATGCTCCCTTTGTTACAGCATCAGTGGAACTGGAGAGCATTATGCTATGTGAAATAAGCCAGGAGGTGAAAGAAAAATACCATATGTGTCATCCATAAGTGGACTCTAATCAACAAAACTAACAAGTGAGCAGAACAGAACCAGAGACATGGAAATAAAAAATAAACCGACAGTAACCAGAGGGGAGGTGAGAGGGGATAACAGGGAAAGAAGAAGAAGGGTCATCAAGGAACATGTATAAAGGACACATGGACAAAGACAAAGGTGGGCAGGATCAAGGGTGGTTGGTGGAGATGGCTGGGGTGGGGGAAAATAATAGATAGATAGATAGATAGATAGATAGATAGATAGATAGATAGATAAATTTTTTAAAAATTGAACACTGCCTCAAAGTAGCCTGCAAGTTTGGAATCTAGTTAAAATCAGCTTAAGCCCTATGTCAATGCATAAAAGCACTAACAGTATCTCTTTAATAATGTGTGTGGCCCTATATATTTTTATTTTTCATTCATAGAGGTTTAAGGGTTGTTGTCCAGCTTCAGTTATGCCAGCATTGGCTGTCAGTGCTGCAGAAGCAGTGGCATCTCAGCAAAAGCGAGGGTGGGAGCAGTGGATACCATGGCTAGAGGCAAAGATGAGGATAGTGAGAAGGCCAAGGGTAAGAGAGTGTTTCATTCACAAAGACCTGGGCTACAGGAGCCATATCCACAGGCATTTGAAGAATCGCACCAGAAACCACAAAGGGGTGGGCACCACCGTGGCTGTGTTCAGTGCCACAAGTCTGGAGGACCTCACTGCCAAGGTGCTGGAGCTGGCAGGTAATACTTTCAAGGATCTCAGAGCAAAGACGTTCACTCAACATTACTTGGAGCTTGCAATCCGTGATAATGAAGAGTTAGAGTCTCTAATCAAGGCTACCATAGCTGGGGGTGGTTGGATTCCTCACATCCACAAGCGTCTGTTTGGAAAAAAAGGGACAGCCCAAAACTTCCCTCTTCCTCCTGGTCATTGAACTGTAACTGGAACAGAAGAAATAACAGGGGTAAATAGAATTTTAAAAACAGTCAAATGGAAAAGCAGACAATTACTGTAGATATGGTAAAGGAAACATTTGTATGTTCTCAGACTTGAAGTCTGATTAAAAAAAAAAAACTTTTCACGTGGCAGCAGTTGTATGTTGATTGGCTGGATTTCTCCCATGGGTTTTATACAAAGATGGAGTTGATAAACCATTTTTTGCAAAAAATAGTTTGTATCAAAACTGTTCTGTTTGTGATATTTTGGAAATGCTTTGCTCATACTGTGATATTGTTTAAATGTTAAATCGGTTATATATTCAAAATAATCTTAAAATAGAATTTGGGAATATAGCTTTACCATGATTGATACCATATTATATTGAATCTCAGATGCTATCCATTTCTAGTATGCACCATTATTTTATTCAATACATACCACTAAAGAAAGAAAATCTCCTCATTAACCATGATATGCCATTCATAATGAGATGCAACCAAATTTCAGAGATGTTAGAATATGAAAACATGCACTTAGAATTGTTGATATAGGATAGTGTAATTATTTGATTTACTGAGCATTAACCATGTGGCAAGTCTTGTGCTAAATGCTTTATTGACCCAGAATTTCTATTATCCCCACATTAAAAATATGGAAATTGACACTCAGAAGAATTAAATGGTTTGCCAGAAAACATTGATTTATTGACAGAAGATGGCAAAGCTGGGTTAGTAGCTAGGCCTATAGTTGCAGCCTCTGTAGTGAACATGTACAGATTTTTTAATCATCATTATTATATAACAATATAGTATAACAATTATTTACATAGCATTCATAATGTTTAAGGTATAAGAAATCTAGAGATGGTTTAAAATATATGGGAAGGTGTACACAGGTTATATGCAAGCACTATGCCATTTTATATAATGGACTTGAGCATCCTTGGACTTTGGTGTCCCTAGGGGTCCAGGAACCAAACTCCTGCAGATGCCAAGGGACAACTGTATACAAAATTGGAGAGAAGAGTAAAAGGACCTGAAGTACCTCTCACCCAGCTTCAACAATTATCAATTGTGAAGGGAGAACTCAGACACAAAACCACTGAGAAAAGAATTTATAATGTCCACTACTTTGCCAGAGATACTGTACTTGAGAACAACTGGGCTCTCCAAACAAAGAACAGAGTAGGTCTTGAGAGAGAGAAAAAGAAAAGTTGTCAGTATAGTACTTTGTTCCTTATATAATTATATTTCAAGGGTTGCCATCAGTCTGTAGATATCATATAGCGACAATCAGGAATAAAGTTGTTAGCAGCTCGCAAGAAGTGCCCAGGTCTTCATTTAGAGACTAGTATTAAACTAAGTGTTTCTGTCTTTTTTTTTTTAGTTTAATAATGCCAAGTATTTTCAGAGGTTTTTCATTAGTTTTGTTTGTCTTTTTTATGGCTGTGATAAATTATGTGCTAAGTCAAAATGGCAGCAGGGCAAGTATCATTCATGCTTGCTTTGCCCCTTCATATGGCCAGCTCCTGCCCATTAAAAATAGACTTGACCATATAGGTTTGTTCTGGAATTTTCTTATTTATATCATTAACTTGGTGGGTTTTTTCCATTTTGCCAATTTAATTTACATAGGAGCCACAAGAGGTATTGATTAATAAACAAAGATTTCCTTATTGTGTGGTTTAAAAAAAAAACTAAAGCTGTATGATACTATTGCTTGCCAAATTAACTTCTGTCTAGAAGCTTCCTAAAGCCCCTGGTCATACTTTGATCATATCAGTGTTACAGAAGTATTTGAATTGTGGTTATCCATTTGTCATCCCAAGTCTAGGAACAAAGGCATCCAGTTTGCCTCTACCAACCAAGTTTTCCAGCAGTAGCTATACAACTGGGGTGTTCCTCCTTCCCTGATGCAGACTTCCCCAAGTCTTCAAATGTTTCAGGTCTGTCCGGAAGTAGCATTCTTTATTAGCAGTAAGGCTGAGATTACACTAGCCATAGAGCATGGGGAAGGTGAGTTTTCTGGGAGGATTCTGTAGGCAGTATTTCCACATATGAGGTGCAGTCCTTGTTTCCTAATACTAAGTTCATCCTAATTAAATAATATTCATTTTTGAACACGGCATCTCTGGCATGGTCTCTGTTAAATACAATTATTTTTTATCCAAGTATACCTCAATAGGAAAAAGAGAGGTTTGTTTTGAAGCTATGTAAATGATGAAATGGCCATGAAAAAGTAAAGGGAAGCAATAAATGGTACTTTGTATAGTAACAACTATTGTTCTGTAAAATTTTTTCAAAGCCAATAAATGTGTCACTATTTTCCTCAGAATCATTTCTCTTAATGAATATTTTGCAATATATATGAATACTTAATCACCATGTTGTACATCTGAAACCAATCTAATATTACATATCGATTATACTAAATTTTAAGAAATAATAAATAGGACTTCCAGCCAAGATGGAGGCATAGGTAGACACACTGTGCCTCCTCACACAACCAAAATAAGGGCAACAACAATTTAAAAACAAAAAACAACCAGAACTGACAGAAAATTGAACTGTATGGAAGTTGTCTTCATCCAGACCAGTAAGAGAAGCGGAGTCAGGCAGCTGGGTGGAGAAGGCCCGTGGCAAGGCGATGGCTGGCAAACCCAGTGAGGCAGTGGATTGTAGAGGGGCATGGCATGTCCAGTCCCACATTCGCAGATAAACCAGGTGAAACTAGAGAGTAAGACTGATCACACAACCCAGGGTCCCAGCACAGGGACCTCAAAACACTGATTAAAAATACCTGTGGGGGTTGAGGTGCCAGGAGAAACTCCCAGCCTCACAGGAGAGTTCATTGGAAAGACCCACAGAATCCCAGGATGTACCCAAACCCACCCACACGGGAATCAACAGCAGAAGGGCCCAATTTGCTTGGGGGAAGAGGCTAAAGGGACTGAAATCCAGCAGAGAGAGGAGCAAGCACCATTTTTCCCTCTCAGACCCCTTCCCCACATACAGCATCACAACCCAGTCACGGTGAACACCTTTGTCCCAGCCTTTGCCCCGCCCAGGTGAACACCTAAGGCTGTGCTCCTCACTATGTAACAGGTGTGTCAACACAAAACAAAAATGGCCCAGATGAAAGAACAGATCAAAGCTCCAGAAAAAATACAACTAAGAGACCAAGAGATAGACAACCTCTCAGATGCACAGTTCAAAACACTGGTGATCAGGATGTTCACAGAATTGGTTGAATTTGGTCACAAATTAGGTGGAAAAATGAAGGCTACACTAAGTGAAATAAAGGAAAATGTACAGGGAACCAACAGTAAAGGAAAGGAAAGTGAGACTCAAATCAATGGAGTGGACCAGAAGGAAGAAAGAAACATACAATCAAAAATGAATAAAGAAACAAGAATTCAAAAAAAATGAGGAGAGGCTTAGGAACCTCCAGGACATCTTTAAATGTTCCAACATCCGAATCATAGCTGTGCCAGAAGGAGAAGGAGAAGAGCAACAAGTGGAAAAGTTATTTGAACAAATAATAAAGGAGAACTTTCCCATTCTGGCAAAGGAAATAGGCTTCCAGGAAGTCCAAGAAGCTCAGAGAGTCCCAAAGAAGTTGGACCCAAGGAGAAACACACCAAGGCACATCATAATTACATTAACCAAGATTAAAATGAAGGAGAGAATCTTAAAAGCAGCAAGACAAAATGAGAGAGTTACCTACAAAAGAGTGCCCATAAGACTGTCAGCTGATTTCTCAGAAGAGACCTTGCAGGCAAGAAGGGGCTGGAAAGAAGTATTCCAAGTCATGAAAGGCAAGGACCTACATCCCAGATTAATCTATCCAGCAAAGCTTTCATTTAGAATGGAAGGGCAGACAAAGTGCTTCTCTGATAAAGTAAAGTTAAAGGAGTTCATTATCACCAAGCCCTTATTATATGAAATGTTAAAGGGAGTTATCTAGGAAAAAGAAGATAAAAAACATATAAAGTAAAATGACATCAAACTCACAATAATTAACAACCACACCTAAAACAAAAATAAAAACAAACTGATCAAACAACTAGAATAGGAACAGAACCACAGAAATAGAGATCACATGGAGGGTTAGCAACAGAGGGGTGGGAGGAGCAGAGAGGGGGAAAGGTACAGAGAATAAGTAGCATAGATAGTAGGTAGAAAATAGACAGGGGGAGGGGAAGAATAGTATGGGAAATGTAGAAGCCAAAGAACTTATAAGTATGACACATGAACATGAACTAAAGTGGGGGAATGTGGGTGGGATAGGGTGTGCAGGGTAGAGGGGAGTGAAGGGGGAAAATGGGACAACTGTAATAGCATAATCAATAAAATATATTAAAAATAATAGCCCTGGCTGGCGTAGCTCAGTGGATTGAGCACGGGCTGCGAACCAAAGTGTCACCAGTTCGATTCCCAGCCAGGGTACATGCCTGGGTTGCAGGCCATAACCCCCAGCAACCGCACATTGACCTCTCTCTCTCTCTCTCCCTCTCTCTCTCTCCCTCCCTTTCCTCTCTAAAAATAAATAAATAAAATCTTTAAAAAAATAATAATAAAATGCTTATAATTTAAAAATTTTTTCTTAGATTTTGTTCTTGATTTACTAGCTTCAGTCCATTTCCTATGATATTTTACAGAATTTGTTTTCTGAAGTTTGAGACATCAGTTGCAATAAGATGCCATTTAAAGGGTGTTTTGTTCCACCTCACACAGAGCTAGCTTATCAAATCAGAAATTAGTGATAAACCTGAAAAAAAGCAAGGAGTATTCTGGTATCATGAGTATTCTTATCAATAGAATATGGAACATTAACCACAAGCAAATTTTTCACCTTAATTTCGTTCATTCCTAGATAATTAATTCTTGTTTTTCTAATCTTGGTGTCATTGCTCATCTATTGGGTTGGCCAAAAAGTCCATTTAATTTTTTCCATAAAATAAAAGACACGTTTTTCTTTTCTATTTCTATGAAA